TGCTTGCCTGCACTTATGCTAGCTTCAGTTTCTTAATTACTGCATGTCAGTCCTCCAGCTTGGTTCGTTTCTTTCAATAATATCGTGACTAAGTTTGTTCCTTTGTCTTTGTGGGTAATAAAATTGGTTTGTTGATATCCAGAAAATGATATGTCAGAATTTTGAGTGAGGTTGGTTTTAGTGATGAGATCAGATAAGGAAGAACTGACATCCTAAGAATATTGAATCTGCATACCCATGAATTGGAACTGTCTTTCCAATTAGTTTCCTTTGATTTCTTTATAGGTTTTGTACTTTTTACCTGTAAGTGTCTTGTACATTTGCTAGATTTATACTCGGGTTTTGCATTTGGAAGATAATAAATTATTTTGTACATTGAATTTCAAATTCAACTTTTCACTGGTATTGTGTAGAAAATCAGGTAACGTTTGAACATTAACCTTGCACATTGCTGCCATGCTATACTTGGTTAGGTCAGAGACATTTTGTTGTTAATAATTTTTGAACTTTTCCATAGATTATCATTATTTCCTATGAAAAAAGACAGTTTTTATTCCTTCTTCCCTTTCCTCCACCATTTTTGTCTTACTGCATTACCTAGGATGTCCATTATTCTATTGATTAGCAGTCATCAGTTGAGTACCCATTCTTTGCCCCGACTTTTAGGGTGAAAGCTCTTCATGTCTCACTATTAAATATAACAGAAATTGTGTGGTTTTGTAAGTGTTTTTATTAATGTATAAGTTTAGGGAGTTACTCTATATTTGTGGTTCATGGGAGTTTCTTTTTAAAATATCATGAATGACTGTTGACTTTCCTAAATGTTTTCTCTATATCTGCTGATATGATCATGTGATTATTTTCCATTTTAGCTCTTTTATGTGATGGGTTATACTAATTAATTTTTGAGAGTTGAGCCATGTACCTATGACAAATCATATTTAGTTTTGGTTGAGTAATTTATTTTATACCTATTGGATTCAATTTTATAACATTTTCTTGAGGATTTTGCATTTATATTCATGAGAAATACTCATATGAATGATTCTTTTCATCTAATGAATTTGTGGATTTTGAGTTATAATTAGAGAGGTTTTTCTCACACTAACATATAAAGGCATACTTCCGTGTTTTCATCTAGTTTCTTTATTGCTCAACATTTATATATTAAAAGTTTTAATCCATTTAATCCATATCTTTGTGAGTTATAGTGCAATCTGTATTTTTCTGGGGAGATAGCTCATTATTCTTATGCCATTCTTTGGTATTATTCTGTAGTAAAAAGTGGACCTTGGTGTAAAACATAAATCATATTTCACTAGTATTTTGAGATGCTATGTATCTCAAAATTCACTTCTGATTGCTTTTGTGTTGATTTCTTGTGTCTGCGTACCAATCAAATAGTCTATTTCTTAGTATTTAATAGAGTTTGCATATGGTAAGACCTCTTAGGGAACTACGTTCTGAGAGCTGTAATCAGTGCTGTATTTGAAGATCAATTTCATTTTTCTTTTCCCATTTTATATATGTGTAAATGTAAATATTTTGTTCTAATTGAGTAACTTTATTGACTCCTTATATGACTGTAATGTTTGGTGCTGTTACGTTTCTTAAATATAATAACAGTATCTTTTATCTATCTGATTGTCTGCCTATGTCTGTCTATCATGTCATCTATATATTCATTTTCAAATTTTAATTTTATAAACTTTATTAGAAAAACTTGCTGATAAAAACAGCACATACAAAAATAAACCAGACCCAAAATTTAAACAATGTAGGATTCAAACTGAAACTGTAGAGGTTTACAGAAAACTTTACATTTTCAGTATTGAATATACTTTATCCACTTACCCATAACCAAAAACAAACAAACAAAATGACAGAATAGAGTTTTTTATTTATAGAAGTTGGATCCTGATATGTAGGTACATGATTATACATGTTTTTGGAACTATACCAGTTTTATTATAATTTCTGAAACAACGGCTTGTTCCAATACCCTTTCTTTGATTAATATCTTTGAATTTACCATATTATAATTATTGGAAAGTGATTTTCACAACTAAGCTTACATACTGATAAGATAGAAATTACAAAGATAATATTTAAAGGCATTTTTAAAAGGAGTAACAGAATGCTTTAGATAGAAGAAAGTTGAAGGAGAAGCAAGTTATTTTGAATAAAGTTTTATCAAATGAGGGAGCCTAGACAAATGATTAGGAAAGTCCTCTCTATTTCCTCACCACTCCCACAAGCTTTTCCATTTCCATTATTTCACTAGATGCAGGATTTGCAAGGTGAAGCTTTTTGTTGTGACTCCCATGGCTTGGGAACTAAAGCACCTCAGCTGCCTCATTCTAAGGAATTGCTGTCCCAGTTCTATTTGGTCCTCTTTGTGAGCTGTGCTTAGAGTGCTAAAGTTGTGGGCTTAACTTTGCCTTGCTTGTACACATGTGTACAAAAGGTGCCTGCTTTCATTTTCTTCATATTCTACAGATGGAGGTTGTAGTATAATGATGATGTTTCTTGGTCCTGTACTTCAGCCTTGTTAGCTTCTCCTAAAATGGAGGAAGTAACCTTAGTGAAGAAATGGACTGTCTTCATGTGTCAGTCCTCAGAGCACGAGCTTTTATTTATTTTTTAGCACCTAGGCACAATAGGACACTTTATCAGCCCCAGAGCACCAGCAACAGTTTCATTTCAAGCTATCTTTTTTTGTTAGATTCGTAAATAAAATCCAGGTTTTGAATGAGCTTGTTTCCCTGATATTTGAATGGCATTTTAATAAGCTCTTTGAACAGATTTAAACTTATTTCACACCAGCTTTCTTTTTGCAGCCAAATCATACCGGTTTTGTTTAGCTTTCTAATCCTTTAATCATTTTCCCCCAGCATGGTTCTGCATGCTTCACATCCCTCTATAGACACCACAACTGGACTGAGTTCTTCAGTAGCGTCTAATCAGAATGGACTGCAGCACCCTTTGCTGTTTGTTGTGTGTTCCAACATACACTATTTCCAGAACTTCCTTGTTCTAGTTGAACATGAACACGGCATTTCTATACCTTTAGACCTATTGCTACCTTAATGGAGAAGAAAGGAGAGGAGGGGAGGGGAGGGGAGGAGAGGGAGGGAGGGAGAGAGAGAGAGAGAGAGAGAGAGAGAGAGAGAGAGAGAGAGAGAGAGAGAGAGAGAGAGAGAGAGAGAGAGAGAGAGAGAGAGAGAGAGAGAGAGAGAGAGAGAGAGAGAGAGCGATGAAGATAAGCTTCATGGCATGAATGGACACAGGGCACTGAGACAGGTGTTTTTAGGAGCCTGTACTGGATTTCAATCTCTGTTCCTGTTATCATGAAATTAATTATAATTTTTCTTTTTTGCATTTCTCATCCGTATACTTTTAATTGAAAATTTTTTCTTTGTATAGTATATTCTTATTTCGGTTTTCCCTTCTTCATCTCCTCTCAGATCCAACCCACCCATGTAACTCCAGACCCTCTCTCTCTCTCTCTCTCTCTCTCTCTCTTTTTAAAGCAAACACAGCAAACAAACTAGAATTATAAACAAACTAAAATTAGAAAACATAGAAAAAGCATAAGAAACACACAAACACATAAAATCACAATATTCAAAATTATAATATATAAGCCAAAGACCAATAAGGTTTAAAAATGCCCAAACAAGTCATTATGAGACTACCATTGAGTTCATTTTATGTTGGCCATGTACTATTGGGCATAGGGCCTGACATTTAGTATGCTTTGTATATCCAATGGGAACTAATTTTTCCTTTGAGAATGGGTGTCACCTGGAGACAGCTTCTGGGTTAGGGATGGGAGCTTGTGTCCACTTTCCCTCTCAATACTGGGACTCCATCTGGCTGAGAGTGTGCAGGCCCTATGCATGCTGCTCTGAGTTCATATGTGCATTGGTTCAGTTGTGTCTAGAAAGCCCGTTTCCTTGATGTCTTTCATCTTCCCTGGCTCTTTATAATCTTTCTGCATGAGAGGAGGATTTGATAACAATATTTCTCTCTCTCTCTCCCTCCCCCCTCCCTCCCTCCTTCCCTTCTTCCCTCCTTCCGTCCTTCCATCCCTCCTCATTGTCCAGTTGTGGGTGTCTGTATTAGTTCCTGTATCCTGTAGAAGGAAGCTTCTCTGACTGAACAAAACCTTAATCTGTGGATGTCTAATTATAATATTTTAACAAGAGATACCTGGTCTCTATTTTGCAGTGCAGCTTAAAAGACTAGTAGCTGATACTGCTTGTGGTTGACTAAAGGACATGGTTGGTGAATCCTAACCTTTGTCTAAGCTAGCCTCAGTTGTTATGACAGCTATTGAGTAACTATAGCTGGAGTTACAGTGATGATAAAGTTGGGTTATAAATTTATGTTCCCCCTCAGGCTCTCATCTCTCCCCCATTGGGGCTTGAGTTTATCTGTTGAATCACTGTTCTTCCAAATTTGTCATCTGCTCATGGCTCCATTAATTTTAATTCAAGTTTTTGAAGCATGTTTGTTTGTGGAATTTGAACGTTTAGAAGCCAGCACTCACTCCTTCCAGAAGATTCTTCGTTGTGAGTCCTTCTGTCTTCTGTGACCTTCCAGTTTGTTGCTTCTTCCCCCCAAAGGGGTCTACTTACTTCCTACCCTTTGTGTTATGTTTACTCAGCACAATTTTGTGCATCAATCTCTCAGTAAAATTTTAGAATTTTCCCTATCTCTGCAAAGGGACTGGAAGTTAATACAAGGAATTCTGATGAGGGCCAACATTCTCAGTCAAAGTCCATATCTGAATTCTGAAATGTGCAGTGAGGTAACTTGGGGAAAAATGTTCATAAGTATAAACAGTAAGATTTTTTTCACTTTTGTTTTTCTTTACTATAAAGCTAAATCTGTCTAATCTCATCTACACACAACAACTATAGCTTTTGATGATTGTTCTAGTGTAGTGTACAAATTGGCTGATTTATCTGTTTGTTTGTTTGCTTTCCTTGTAGCTTAACAAGCAACAGTTACAGTTACTGAAAGAGCGGTTCCAGGCCTTCCTCAACGGGGAGACTCAGATTGTAGCAGATGAAGCGTTTTGCAATGCAGTGCGGAGTTACTATGAGGTGAGTGGACAGAGCTCTGTTTTGGGAACAGGGATGCTTTCTAGGACCATTTAAGGACTGTCCCTGATATGGCAAGGAATCTTTGAGCTCTTGACTGTCTCCAAAGGATTGTCACTTCTATTTTGCAATGTAAAAACTAATTCCACAGCCTGGGTTTGAGAGATAAATAAAATTGAAAATTACTCCCATTGTTTGTGAAGAAAATTGGCAGTGACTGATACACCTGAGTCTAGCTATCTTCATGTTCACATTCATGAATGATCCTTTTTAATCAGGATTTCAATAGTAAATTACTATCTTATGCCAGTTTGTTCTCTAAGCTTTGTAATAATTAAGGCCACTAATTAATTTCAAGAGAATGCATTTTCTTTTCTGATTGAATGAATAGTACCACCAATTCCATCTTGCTGTTACTTCTGAGTTTAGCTTGTGAGTCAAATGGGAATTCTCTGTGTATTTCCTGTAAGTAGTTTTCATATATGATCATGAGTTTGTTTCAGTGAATTGCCAAGAGATGGTAAATTGGAGAGCTCACTTATGTCCTAAGTATCTCAGAGTCATTTGGGGAATGTGTTCCTTTCATTGTGTCTGAAGAAACATGACATGCAACACATCTTAGGCTAGTGAAAAATTGAACGCATAGAGATATAATATTCTGAACTTTCCCGAGGCAAGGAGTATTGCCATATACAAAATAAAATATTTGTGATTATAGATGATATGTTGTTTAATATTGTTTAATATACAACTGCACAAGTATATACTGAATTAAAGAAACATGTGGCAGTTATTGAAGTCTTATTTACCAAGTATGTATGATGCAGATCTGGTAGCTATAATAGATATATTGTCTAACTTGATCTTATCGCAAACTGTCTTAAGAAAATAGGGCTTATATTTTACCTTGAAAGTCAGAATCTTACACGATAAACTCCTTGAATCTTAAAAGATGAGCATACATATACATTCATGCATACAATAGCAATTAGTGGGGGAAAGTCATGAATTTGAAGGAGATCTGTTTACAAAGTTGTCAGTTTTTAAAACATAAATCAGTAAGCCTGACTGAGTTTTCATAAATGTCCCAGGGGTAATTGAAGTTGGTGGATGGATGAGTTTCTTTTTAACTATCTTTGTAACTTTTATATAAATCTAAAGTTATTCTAAAATAAATACCTTCTTTTTCTAAATCACTTCAAGATTAATTTTAAAACCTACAATGATCAAGATAGTGGGTATTAGTAAAAATACAATATATTAAGGAAACATAATAGGGTACCTGGAAATACATTACTTCGATAAAATAAATTTTGATCATAGAGCAACTGCAATACAGTGGAGAAAAGATAATCATTTAATTGAAAATATGTCATGTAACACTGTATGTTCACATGTAAAAATTTAACCTGTACTTGGAATTTATGCCTTTCACAAAGTGAAATTGAGTCATAGACATAAAAGTAACACTATATAATTCCTAGAAGATGTAGAAACAATAATTATGACTATGGTTGGGCCTTGACTTCATCCCTGAGAAAAGAAAACAATTGATGTAACTTAGAAAAGAATCTTCTCTAAAAGACATACTGCCAAATGGATGAAAAACTATACCATAGACTTTTGTGAAATACTGTGAAATACTTGCAGAAGACATGCCTAATAAAGGACTAGTATCCAACATATGTGAAAAACTCTTAAGAATTGATCAATAATGAAACAGAATAAAAAAGTCACCATACCTGATTTCAAATTATACGACAGAGTTGTAGTAATAAAACTGCATGCCATTGGCATAAAAATAGACATGTTGATCAATGGAATTTAATTAAAGACCTAGATGTAAATCCACATACCTGTGGATACCTGGTTTTTCATAAAGAAGCCAGAAATATACAATAAAAAAGAAAACATCTTCAACAAATGGTGCTGGTATAACTAGATGTCAGTTATATTGAAGAATGCAATTAGATCCATATCTATCACTCTACAAAAATCTCAAGTTCAAATCTATCAAAGACTCAACATAAAACCAGATACACTCAACCTGATAAAAGTGGGGAATAGTCTTGAACACATTGGCACAGGAGACAATTTCCTGAATAGAGCATCAATAATACAGGTACTAAGATTGACAATTAATAAATGGAACCTCATGAAACTGAAAAGCTTCTGTAAGTCAAAGGACATTATCAATAAGACAAAACAACAGCCCATAGAATGGGAGAAGATTTTTTTTACTAAGTCCTCATCTGACAGAGGGCTGATATCCAAAATATATAAAGAATTCAAGAAACTAGACATCAACAAACTAAATAATCCAATTAAAAATGTAATACAGTTCTGAATAGACATCTCAACAAAGGAATCTCAAATGGCCAATAATCACTTAAAGAAATGTTCATTGTGGCTCCAATAATACAAACGCAGAGACTGAAGATCAGAGAAGCAGAGCTACCAAGCCATGAGAGAACTCTTACCTCCACCAAAGCTGGAGAGATCCTGTCCTCAATGTGGCTGGAGACTAATTGCCTAAGACTGAATGCCCAAGACTGAACGCCAGCTCTGAAACCCTGCTCCTGTCTTATATACCTCTCTAGTGCTGGCCTCTATGGCTGTGGCTAGCTTTGCATTCTGATCTCCAGGCAAGAGTTATTAGATAATAAACAATATATCAGTTCATCCTTAGACATCAGGGAAATGCAAATCAAAATAACTTGGAGATTCCATCTTATATCTGTCAGAATGGCTAAGATCAAAAACACAGTGCCAGCTCATTCTAGTGAGGATGTGGAGCAAAGGGAACACTCCCTCACTGCTGGTGGGAGTGCAAACTTGTACAGCCACTTGGGAAATCAGTATGGTGGTTTCTCAGAAAATTTGGAATAGTTCTACCTCAAGACCTAGTTTTACCACTCCTGGGCATATATCCACAGGACACTCCATCCTATCCTAAGGATACATGCTCAACTATGTTCTTAGCAGCTTTATTCATAAGTCAGAAACTAGAGACAACCTAGATGTCTCTTGACTGAAGAGTGGATAAACACAATATGGTATGTTTATACCATAGAGTATTACTCACCTGCTAAAAAAATGACATAATGAAATTTGCAGGCAAATGGATGAAACTAGAAAAAAATCATCCCAAGTGAGGTAACCCAGACCCCAAAAGACAAATATTGTATGTATTCATAAGTAGATATTAGATGTAAAGTAATAGATAGCCATGCTATAGTCCACAGACCTAAAGAGGCTAAGTAATAAGGAGGACTTAAGGGGGGATACAGGGATATCCCTGGAAAGAGTAATAAGAATAGATCTTGAGGGAGGACTGAGGGCAGCTGGGGTTGGGAACAGGAGGGATCAGGTCATGGGGAGGAAGGAGAAAATACTGGGAGAAACACCAGGAACTTGGGGGAGCATTTCAGACATGAGGTGGAAGCCTATTCCAATGGAAACTCCATGGAATCTATGCTAGTAACCTTAGCAAAGACTCCTAGCAATAGGGGTTATGGAGCCTGAAACAGCCATCTTCTGTAACTAGACAAGGTCTCAAGTGGAGGGATTGGGACACCGAGCCAGCCACACAACCTTCAACCTATAGTTTGTCCTACCTGCAGAGTGTTTTGGGAACAGAATCTAGCAGAATTGTCATCAAAGAGACAAGATAGACTTCATCCTGCAACTGATGGGAGAAGATGCATAGTCCACAGCCAAACATAAGGTAGAGTTCAGGGAGTCCAGGGAAGCCAGAGGGGTCAGGGACAGCACAAGAACACAGCCCACAAAATCAACTGACCAGGATTCATGACAGTTCACAGAGATCAGGGAGTTTGTAAGGTTCTGACCTAGGCCCTCTGCACATATGATATGGTTATATAGCTTCATGTTTTTGTGGGATTCTTAAATGGGCACAGAGGCTATCTCTGACTCTTTTGCCTGCTTTTGGGATCCTATTGTTGCCTCATTTAGTCTTGATGTAATGGTATGTGCCTGTTCTTATTGTGGCTAGTTATGCTATAAACCATAAGAGGCCTGTCTCTTCTGATGGAGATGGAGGTGGGGTGGATCTATGGGAAAGGGGAGATGGGAGGGAAGGAGATTAGAGGGACAGGAGGGACAGAAGGTACAGGAGGGAGGAGAAGCTGGAGCAAGGAGAGAAGAATAAAAATAAAAAGAAAATAAATTTCAAAGTATGTAAATGAAGAACACAAGTGGTACACAGATGTTCATGCAGGAAAACTCATACCCGTAAAATAAAAATAAATAAATCTTAAAAAATTGTTGACCAAAATTTTGATACCATATTTAGGGATTAAAGAAGTATAAAGAATCCAAATTATTGTCAGAGAATTGCAAATTAAAGCAATAGTGAAATAGCACCATTCAAATGGCCATGATGCAGAAATGATATCACCAAAGGCTGCCATGAAGTTAGAGCCACAGGCAGTCTCTCTTTGTTATTAACTGATAGTAATGCTTGAGAATTCTGTACATACATATAATGTATATTTATCACTTCACTATCCATTCATTTCCCTCTAATTCCCATTTTATCCCCTTCAACACTTTTCCCTCCCAACTTTATGTGCTCTTCTTTTAAAAAACTCACTGAATCTACTTAATGTTGCCTGCATGTGCATGGGTATAGGGCTGTCCATCAACTGGAATATGGGTAGCCCCTTTGTCAGTAGCTAGGTGGGATTGCATGAGCCTCTCCCCCACCCATTGATTAGTTTGCTCTTGTACAGGTCTTGTGCATGTGCTCACAGTCAGCTCATGTGTGCAGCAACGTCATCATGTCTGGTAAACTGCAGACATCCACTACCTCTGGCGCTTAGCATCTTTCACCTCTTATTCTGTTGTGACTCCTGAGCTTTCGGGTCAGGAAGTGTGACCTCTGTGTCCCATTTAGAGCTAAAGATCATCTAGCCTTTTATTCTCCAAACGTTGACTAGTCCTGGATCTCTCCATACATCACCAACTGCTACAAAATGAAG